TTTTTTTTTCTTTCTTCATCTTTTTTTTTTTTTTAAAGTCTGTTTTACAAGGTCTAACAGAATTCTGAAATGGCTGCATTCTGCCACCAATTGTATACTTAAAGTGAAAAACAACCCCCCCAAGCAGATGATTCTTTGTGTTTTGCTCCTTTTTTTTTCCAAGTGAGTGTAGGAACAGTCCTTCTTCCACTGACCTTCAAGTATTAGTCTAACGCAGAACGTATTAGCATGAGTCAAATAGTGTGACTACAACAGCATCATGGTAAGGTAAATACCATATAGTTATGCTTCCTTCCTCTGGCAGTATCTCCAAGAGACAGGCTTCATAAAGAGCTACACCCAGTAGTAAAATAATTTATGCTGAATAAACAAATACTGAGAGATGTTCTAAAGTCCAACATGGAGCTCAGCCAGAGCTGAGCCACTGCTTTTAAGTGGCAATATGTCAGCTGCAAATGAGCAATATGAGAGAAGCCGAGACATTTGTATAGCCAAACTAGTAGGAGCCTAAAATGCCAAAGTTAAGGCTGCAGATGGTAGTAGGTTTTTAAACTGAATACACTGGGTCTCCAGGCATGGACCTATAGCTTTTGAGAGCTTTCCCCCCTCTTTCCCCTCCCCCTCTCCATGCCTAAATATAACATTAGATTTGTCCTATTTAGGGAATAAACCAAAATATTTTTTAAAAGCAGCTTAAGTGTGGCTGAGGGAATGGCAAGTACATACTACACAGATGCCATACCTTGTATTTTTCTCATCAGAACCAAAGATGGGACTTCACAGTGCAGTGCAAACAAAGATCTCTGCTACCACCCTCCCTCCATTGCCTGACTGCTGTGATAGGTTTGCTCTGCCAAGCACCACTGTCACAAACAGCTAAAGCAGTTTTGACTTTTTACGTAGGAGTTGTGGGTCAGCTGTCTTGCTGGGAACAGGAAGCTGAGGTGAGCTCGTCACAGTGACAGATTTAGGATGTTATTCCTGCTCCTCAAAGGGAGCCCAGGACATGCTGCGTGCATCAAAACACTGCAAGGCAATTACGTTGGTACATAGAAATTTTTATAGATAACTTAAGTGCTTTTTTTCCCAACAAAACTGTTTTACATCTGAGCTCTTCGTTTCTAAGACAGGGTACTTTGGGCATAAAGCTGTGTCCCCCTGGCATGTGTTTCCCTCTGTCCCTCTGGGCCATACACCCCTCCTGTCTGCTGGATGTTCACCACCATAACTGTGGATAACAAGTCAGCAGAAGAACAGGAATTCTCACCCAGCTCTCATGATTTGCCATTTGTACCTCTTCATTTTTCCCCCCCGACACAAGCATTTCTGCACCCTCTCTGCCAAAAGCATCTCAGAAAAACATTTTTATGTTCCATAATTGGCAAAGAGCCCTTTCACCTTCCCTCTCACAGAGTGCTGGATTTAGGAAATCTGTAAATATGGACAGAAGGGATGAAGCTGGAGAAATACAAGACAGCTTTGGAGAGTAGCTTCAGCAGAGCTCCCTAGAGTGGTACAAAGTTCTGGGAATTGTGCTCTCCTGCAGAAAGACTAGAACAGCAGTTCCTGTAACATCTTTCAGAGTAACACCTCTCTACAACGGAATAACATAATTTTCACTTCCAGTAGCTGGAAAAATGCAGAAATGTACAGGAGAAAAAACCCCAAACCACCTTGTTGACAAGAAATAGCTGCAATAAGGCAGGATGGCAGATGCCCCATGATAGCACTACAGCAGAAAAGAGAAGTACAATAGTTGTTGATATTTATGACAATCCACCCTTTTACTACTTTGTTGCAGAAGACCTCCAGTATTTACACAGAGATTCTTCATCTAATGCCCTTTTATCCGATGGGAAAGCTTTTTCTTGCACCTCTAAAATACAACAGAGGGGGAGGCTCAAGTAACATGGTAGAAGCTGGTGTTTCTCTGACTTGGACAAAAAGTCAGGGCTTGACATCAAGCAAATTTAACTATGGAAAATAAAACTCTGCCTTACACAGGGCAGTAATACCAAGGATCTGAAAAACTTTACAACTTTGGCTGCAGCTTCCACACCGTTAGACTCCACAGCATATACATGTAATTTCAATACTTTTTTTAAAATCACAATGGTTACTTGCTAATATAGGGACTGATGTGGGATAGAAATGATAAACTAGACAAGTGAGATTATTAGAAAAAAATACTCAGATTATTTGGGAATAGATTTGTAAAGCTTGTGCGAAGCACTTGAGAACAGCTGACATCTGAACGAATGGAAAAGAGCATTACCATTGCCTCATAATTTTTTTTTTCAAACTAGCAGATTGAGTTTAGGCTTTGTAAAATGTTACCCCTCTCAACCCTTGCAACTGACTAACATAAAAAAGTCAAGCCAAACATTACCAACTCAAGATTCAACTTTGATCAAGTACTTGCACTACTCACCTAACCATGCAGGACTGGAATAGTGACAACATGCAAACGGAAACAGATGTTGGCTTTCACAAACAAATGCCATCCTTACCCAGGCATATGGAGGATGAAAAGGAATCATAGGCTTATCAGCCATGTACTGCCTATCCCAAAGCATTCTTACTCAAATATAGTATCTCTATTAAATGCCAAATAAAGATATTTTCCTCCCTCTGAACTTTATCTCTGCAGTCTCTTTGGGATAGTATCTTCCAAGCCAAGCAGCAGATACTTCTAGGGAAATGCTTTTAACTTGCACAGGGAGATGTTTTGAAGGGATGCCATCAACTTTCGGTAAACTCTTATCTCTCCTCCACTAGACCTATTAGCTTATCAGAAATGACTGAAAATACTTTTTAGAGTAAAAATATTGATAACTATTTTGCATATTTGGATAGTTTTCCAAGCCAATTCTCCTCTTTCCTTTCTCCAGGGCTTACCATCCTCTTCAGCATTTCTCCCATCTTGCTCCAAAGATGTTGAAAGTTGTCTGCAATGTATTGCTCGAGGCTGAACTGCTGGATGGTAGTGCACTCTCTAAAGCCAGTGGTGACCTAGTAACAAATAACTTACAGCCAGTACAATGAGGTAGCAAACAGCAATGCAGAGGAAAAGAGAGTAAGTAAATTAAATATTTGCTGCCAAGTTCCATATCAAAAGGAGACAATGTGCAGGCAACTATGCCGTGGTTTCTGTAGGTGCACCGTTCTTCCATTGGTCAGATTCTGAGGCAGTGGCAGTCATCAGATGCACAGTTAATGTCCAGTGTTGTCCATGCTTACTCCTACTCCTAGTGTCATCCTAGAAAGACGTGCACTCACCTCCTTTCTGTGCTTGCCTGCTGTCTTTCACTTATTTCTCCCCAGTCTCGATCTGTCTTGTCCTTCTTGAGCACTTTCAGAATTGCTAAATGTTGTGAATTGGAGGTAGCACTCTTGGCTTCTCCAAGAGATCTTGCAGAAGAAGGTCATGCTGTTCCCATGTCTTGCTGTTATCATGACTAACTCAGATTGTGGAAAAGCTTTTAATTTCTTTCCCATGAAACACCACATAATTAAACTCATAGGCACATCCTAAGAAATGAGGATTTCTTTGTGCTTATAAATAACCATCTATGCCTCTTTTCATCACTGCTATGTATCTACTTACAGAGAAAGTAAAGGAAGGGAAAATAGCATTTTATGCATGACATTAGTTTTCAACCCCTCAAATTCAGAAAAACACCAAGGATTATATGGGCAGTCTACATATATTGAAGAAATTCATACACTTTTCCACACGTATACACATTTTTAAAATCTTTGCAGCATGCATGCACTCCACTGCAGCTGCCACCGTTTCTTAAAGCACATCATTATCCATGTGTGCTGAAGTATTTTGGCACTGTGGCCATTATATCCTTTCTTATCTCACGTACGATGATCTGTCAGAAGGAGGAGAGCTGGAGAAACAGCCAGAGAACAGGAGAACACGTCTCAAAGTGTGGGAGTGAAGAGCAGCCAGTTTTCTTTTCTCCTCTGGGTGCTCCCACAGCTGCCCCATGCTGCATGATGAATCCAGGCAACACCACACACATTCACAGAGTGACTGAATGCATAACAGATTTTTACTGAGCAGCAACAGACCCATCAGACATGGAAACCAAGGAACACAGTAATGCTTTTGTGAAAATGCAGCTCCCCAGTAGTGACTTTGCAAATCACAAGCACAAGGACATGTTTCACTGCTGTTGCCTGAGCTGCAGCAAAGAATGCTCTCTACAAAGGTTGGGGATCTACCTTGACAGTCTTGCTGCAAGCCATGGAACCACCAGATAACCACTGAGACTACTTCTCCAGGGTCACACCACCAGATCATTTAGTTTTGGCAATCACCACATATGAAGACTGCCCTGAAAGGTTTGATTTTCAGCATAACATTTTCTGTGAGTTATGTAGCAAGCCCTCAGCCACAAAATGTGCTAGATGGAAAACAATTACAGTAATTTCTAGAGTCCTGGCAGACAGAATACACAGCATTGTCCCAACATAAGCACTTAAAATCCCCTTGATAAGTTAGCTGGAAGAAGAAAACATTAGAAGGAACGTTTAATAGACTGGAATCTCTCTCATCCTCCCGTAAAAAAAATGTTTGAGAAAAAGTGAAGCTGTTACAGATGATGGCCTCATCAATATGACTACCAGTGTAACAGGAATTCAGGTAGGATTTTCGCACTTTAAAATTCCCTAGAGAGTGGGATGAGAGAAAACAGATCCTCTTACCACAATCAGATTAATTCCCCAGTAGAGATGCTGACCCCTACATTGCAGTACCTTGTACTGTATCACATATCAAATTACTTATATTATACCTAGACTTCATTAAATAGAGAATATCATATTTACTTTTTAAAAAACAATAGACTATTAAACAGGTAGAGATCTTGAAAAGAAAATGGATGGCTCGATATTAAGTGAAAAATCAGGTCCCCTTACAAAAATCAGCACTTAATCCAAAAAGACAAATTACTAGACTCACTTTATACTGGAGAACCATTACCCACCTGAGCTATGGGATGAAGTACAGTAACAAGGTTTCATGTTCATTGCAAGCAGGTCTGAAATGTACAATTCCAAGCTGTCACTCACAATCAGCAGCCAGGGTAAAGGCAGCATCATCACCACATTTACACCCTACCTTTCTTTGTGAAGGATCCTTGGGAAAAATGAGTTTAGGCCTCCATGAAATTCCATGAGCAATGAGAAATTTTGTAATTCAGGCACTTTTTGGTGGCGATCAAGTTACCTTCAGGATGCCCCTTCCTAAAAGCTTCCCCTTAACCTTTCATGATATATCATGACATTCTTTTTCCATGTGTGAATCAGCCAGCACTGTCTAGTAGCATCTGAACCTCCCAACAACAGCAACAAAATCAGAACATACTGCACTAACTGGGACTAGCACAGATTCCCAGATTTGAGTTTTCCTGGCAAGCAAAGAGTCCAGAACCCTGCAAAACCCAGGAGAACACTCCATCACCAAAGAAGGAAGCACTCTTTCACCATCAGTCTTGAGAGATGGCAAATTAAATTACATCATTCTGCAAATACTCAGTGGATCTTGGCATCACTGAAGGGAAAGTCTGAGAGCTTGAAGAACCATCCATCTCAAGGGATCACATGGTCTTCAGCAACACACAGGCAAGACATGTAAAAACAGACAAGATACGTGATGTAAATTGACCAGAAGTGATTAGACAGATTCCCAGTGGTAAAACAAGGCAAGCTTTCAGCTGCTGCCAGCTCTTCCTCAGCCTTGAGAGTAACCCTAGGGATTGCAAGCCCTCACAGAGATTGAGTTCAGGGTGTGCTAAGTGAATTCCTGGTGCTGACTACTGCCAGTGGAGTCTTCAAGAAGCTTAATGTGAAATTCCTGCAAGTAATATTTGTAGATACTCCTGATGTGTGAATTCACTAGAGAAACAAGCCTCCTGCATTCCTCCAAATGAATATTTTTGTTGAATTGAGGCGCTACTGTCCCTAAAATCAGTGTTTGACATTTAATGTGAAAGGGGCAGAGTTTCAGATTAATCAAGTTCAGGGCAGGTTACATTTCCCTCTCTCAGGACAAGAAAAAATGGCTCCAGGAGCTGGCAAGAAAAGTCCTGCAAAAGGAGTACTTGGAAAAAGTCAGGGAAGCTAGGCTGGCTATCTGAGTGGTAAAAAGAAAGCCAGCAGTAGTCAGCTTCTATTTGTTTAATATAAGAGATTTCTATACTCAATTCCATCAGAACAACTGCTCCCTAAGGCAATTGTAATACCTCAGCTTTGTCTAGGAAATAAAGTGGCTCAACAAAAGAAAATTATTATTCATGTGGGATGTACTGAAGGGGGAATTCAAGATTTGCATGTATGGTCATGGACTGTAAATGAACCATTGAAGCTCAACTTGGCAACGTGATCTCAGGATTTATTATTCTACAAAGTATCAGCTCAAAAGAAGTCAAACACTTGTAATTTTTTGAAAAGGAATTGAGAACAAAATGCCATTTTCCAGATGTGTAAGTTAAGATGCACCTGTATCATAAATACTGTACGAGGTTTGCCTCCTCCCATCATAGAAAATATACAACTTTGAACTAGGGAAGGTTCAGAGAAGGGCAATTAAGATGAGAAACAGCATCCCCATGAGGAATAAACAGACTGGTACTCTTCAGCTTGGCAAACAGATGACCAAATGAAAAATAAGTAGCAGATCATAAAAGCAAAGGTAAGACACAAAAGTTGGGGGCATGAACTGTCCATTAAAAGCTTCAGAGATAGCAAAGGAAGGTATCAGTGGGTTCTTGGCACAGTATATAACTCAACTTCATAACCTGTTGCTACACAAAATGGTGGCTACCAGAGCTTAACTGCTATTCTAAACCAACAATTACATGTTAAGTAAATCTCAATGGACTTTTTTCCCACAAGATACAAAGTCATAGTTTTGTAGGAAGACCATTGAGTATGACAGATGAGAATACACTGGGGTGGTAATGGAGAAAATGTTTTTGGGAGCTGAAAATTCAGCCTGAAGTGTTGCTCTGGTGTTGAGATTTCATCCTTTCTATAGCTATTTCTCCTCTTTGGATAGAAGACATTTTCCTTCAGAAAATGTGAACCTTGAGAACCAATATATTACCACAGGCATAATGATGTAATCTGAAGCTTCAGCAGCAGCAACTGATGCAGTCTCAAGTACCTCATCTTCACATTTCCTTGAACAACAAAGTAAAAAATTCCCTCCAGCAGTCAAGAAAATGCACATTAAGATAAAAACTAATTTAAAAAGCAGCATTCAGATTACTGGTCATGAAATCACACAATGAAAGGATCTTTTCAGTACAGAGCTCAAAGAATCTATGTATTAAACCTCAATATATCTCTAGCCTGTTTCATCATTTTAACCTACAACTAGTGGAGAAAACTGGAAGCTTGTGCTCTCCTCTTATACTAGGGTTGGTTGATAAAGGCTTTTTCTTTTATTGGAAAGCACAGATTGGCTGATGGGAGTTTATGATTAGCAGGCAGGGTGCTGGCTCTCCTTACATTACTGAGGGGCAGAGCAGACTGCTCTACTCAATGTCTCCAACTGCCCCTCCAGTCCCATTCTCCCAAAGACTTCGGGATAGGGCTAAGGGCAGTGACTTAGAGGAGATGAGAAACGTTCCTGTGTTGAGGACAACATAACAAGAGAAGTATATCCTCCTCTCCTACACTTTGGGCTCCTAGTCCCTGTGGCAGGTCAGTGAAATGAGAGATGCCATTCCTGTGCTGATGCTCAATGCTACAGCATGGCCCTGAGGACCACTGAGTGCAGTTACCTGGGAAATGCTGAGGTCACCACCAGGCATGTGAAGCAGGGTGTTGTGTATCAACTTGCCAGGAAGGAGAGAGAACAGAGAGATCATCATGCTCCTGCATTATAATGCACACAGAAAGAGCCTTTTGTCTTTTGACAGCATGAGGTGATATGAATGTGCAAAAAATACTGGAAGCAGAAACTCTGCAGATGGAAAACCTGTCTGTTACTCTCCAATATAACCTTCATCAAGATTTAATTTTAGCAAAGAAAGAAATTCAGAAGTTGTTTGCCTGAGGGATAAAGCATTGGTTCTGACAAAAGCGCCACAATACCTGGAGCTCATTTTAACAAATATAGAAACTTGGTCTTCCTTGGTTCTACCTACCTCCACATGCACCTGAATGCCCATAGCAGAGACATTAGTAACACCTCCACACTGAGTCTATTTATACATGGAAAAGGTGTATCATTTTCTGGACTGGAGCTGACGTGGTAACACTCCCTACACTAATCCCTAGCACATGGATACACTGCTGTATGCAGCAAAGATCTTCACCAAATACCAACTACTCAGAGATTTCACTGCTCACAGCTGGCAGTTCAGTATATTCCTGTCTTCATTTCTCGCAACATCTTTGGGAACCATGGAGCTTAACCTCAAGTCAGCCATCCTTGGTAATATTCATTTCTTACTCACCAGCCCACCTTTCAAATGGCGTCCTACACTGACACCCTCTGTGGTGGGGTTTTAATGCTTCCTGACAATGTCATGCAGGAAGTTACATGCAAAGAACATCCCATTATGTTTTCAGGCATCTTCTACTACCAGTCAGGTTTGCATGGTTACTGAAATATTTTCAAGAAGCCAGATGCTTTTGCTGTGTCATTCTGGAGGATCTGTGTTGTGCCCTGGCCTGATCATACTTTTGGATTTGGAGCAAGAAAAAATCAATTATTTTTTTCTTCTATTTATCAACACATTAATAGTCCCATCTGAGAATGACTTACAGTCAACAGTAATATAGGCAGGTATCTGTTAGGCCTCTGCCCATTAGGAAGACAATGTAGGTTGCTTCCCTGATCATGGAAATTGTGTTATCTAATCAGGTTTTATATTTAGCAGTTGCACAATGGTCTTCAGGTTAATCAGTGTTCATTACACATGCAAGGAATAACGGGGCTCCCAAATTCAAGTTCAAAAGTACTATCTCATGCACCGACTTTAAAGTCTGGCAACCTCTTCCCAAACTATCAGTAAGAAGTGATTGGGGTATGTTATCAAGAAGAAACACTTAAGAGCCTTCTCTTAAATCTCCCTGGCTATTCTTCCCCCCTTTCAGCTGTGCCATTGACTGCCATTGCCTATACTCTACAACATTCCCTCATCAGGGCCTGACATCAGCTGCTCTGACCATGTTTTTGGTCTCCACTCTCTATCAGCCTGCAGTGCTGCTTTGTGGGGTGCAGGACAGTCAACAACTGTGCCCAACCGAATCCAAATGGCATTTGCAGCCTCAACTACACAATCTGGTGAAACAAAAGGACCTTATATTATCTCTTCAAAGCATTTCAACAGACTTACAGGCAGAAGATGTGACGCTCAAGATCATCATTCAAGCTTTGTGCAGCTGGAAGCTCTTGCACCAAACTGCAGGTTTTTGTGCAAAACTCCACTCTGTTGAAATATGTTGGCTGTCCCAATTAAGGGGCTCATGGAGAAGACCAGAAAGAACACACTCCTGTTTACATGTGAGTCAAGAATCCATCTCTGCTACTTGAAACCCCTACAAGTGCATTATTTGTCTGTAAAGCACTTTGGTAACTTGTCTCTAACTTAGTACATCTTCAGGAAAGAATCATTCCACAAAGCATGAGGCCATCTACTTCCCTGTCATGGAAAAAGCTTCCAGTGATTCATCCTTGTGAACAGCCACTTCCTGAATATCCTCTGTCTTTCTATATGTAAAACGTCTCTCTCAGTTGTCTCTCCCAGTAAGTAATAAAGAGACTGTTTAATAATCTGACAGGGAATAGCAGAAAAGAGCAGGGAAAAATTCCTGTTTACAGTGCAGCAACAAACAAACACTCTGTATTGTTCCCTGACCTTTCACTTAAATTTGAATTATAAACAGCTACTGATAGCAGAAAAGGGAGGAAGATAAATACACACAATGAAAAACTTTTTTGCTTTATGAGTTTAGTTGCAAATCCCAAATCTTGATGCTTGAAAGTACCTTTTCTTCATAATGAATCTGGAATGCCTAAAAGTTGTGGGAAATCTGTTCCTTGGCTTAATACTAAACTGAAATATTATCCTTTGGTCTTTAACTGGGAACATCTGGTAGAAAATTCTACTGGTAAAAATTTACTAGCTAATAAAGACCATAATACATTTCCACAGTTAGACAGTTATGCATGTTTTATATAAAAGCATTCATGACACTACAAAGCACTCAACACTTAGAGCAAAGGCAAATATTATTTTGTAAGGCATGAAGGAAAGATACATCATTGCAATTTAAAATGAATTTTATGGCAATAAAGTAACATACTTCTTTAAAAAATACAGAGCCAAATTAAAATGTAGCCAAACCTAAACTGTCAACTCCTTA